ATAGTTATGTATGTTAGTTAGATATAGATTTATAGAATTCTATAATATAGTGTATTATACAGTCTGTATACCGTATAAAAGTAATACCATAATGTTTCTATATTTTATACAGTATAACAAGTATTAACAAGTAATATATTTTATAATTTTATTTTTATTTATTGTAAATGTATAAAGTAATAGTACTTTACATACAGGAATAGGAAATCCTTTCGATTTAAGATTTAAAGTGATTTTAATGTAATGTAAAATTAATTCTAAAACTTATTTTAATAGATAAAAACACTTATAAGATGTGATAAATAATTACATTTATCATTATACATTAAACATGTTATTAATACACCTTATTCTGCGATTAAATAATAAGTCAAGTCAAGCAACTTATGTAATTTTAAAATATACAAGAGTTATATGAAACAAGAATATGGTTACTAGATATTACATGTATATTTTTGATGTAAATTTTGCATAATGTTAATACCGGTAATATATGAACAAAATTGTTTGTATTTACGAGTGCTATCAATACTTTAACAGATAGATAGAATTGCAATGAATTCAATAAACAAGGCGTTTACAATTGAATGCAAGTTTTAATGTCATTGAAATTTTAAAGCCAAGGTTTGTCTGATTAATTTAAATCAAATATACTGTACATGTAGTGTATGTGTGTATACAAGTGTTTCCAATGCCAGAACACATTCCCCCGAATTTGATATAAAAGAAGACAGAGTTTTCATTTCCCACTCATTCTTGTTCTCTAAAGTTTGAATTCAATTGTTTGCAGAAAACTTAAAATTATGGCTAAATATACGGTTGAAGTGATTTCAAAGCACATCTGCCAACTGGGAGAGGGACCGCATTGGGATGAAAAGTCTCAGTCACTATACTATGTGGACCTAATTGGTGGTGATGTCTGTCGCTTGGATACTAAGACTCAAGAATCCGAAATGATACACATCGGGGGCACTGTTTCGGTTGTGGTTCCCATCAAAGACAGCGACAACGAGTTTATTATAGGACACGATAACAAACTTTATAAACTCAATTGGAGTTCTCAAGAGAAACAACTGTTATGTGAAGTCGAGACTCATTTGGATAAAAATCGTTTCAATGATGGAAAGTGTGATTCAAGCGGACGATTCTGGGTCGGCACTATGGGGCCCGAAACATCTCCCGGTGTTTTCGTTCCCAATAGAGGTAACCCTTTTGCCAAATTGACATTCATTAATACATTAATGTATGTTTACAAATATTAATTGCAAATATAGGCGCGCTCTACACTTATGGCTCCAAAATCGAGAAAAGGTTTGATCCAGTTAATCTGTCAAATGGATTAGCATGGTCATTGGACAACACCCTCATGTATTTCATTGATTCAACCAAAAGAATAATTTATGTTTTCGATTTCGATATCAAAACTGGAAATATTCGTTAGTATTGTATAGCATTCTATTATATAAATAGTAAATCTGATTATAATTTAATGACACTATTTATTATTGCTATGAATAGAAAACTCAAAAGTTTTCTTCGATTTTAACAAACAAAAAAATATCACGGAAAATATTTTACCCGACGGTATGACTATTGATAAGAACGGCAATCTATGGGTCGCCTGTTTTAATGGCGCTAAAGTTATCAATATCTGCACAAAAAGTGGTGAGTTTTGCATATTTTATGCATGATTTTGAATATATTATCATTATATCAATGCCAAAGTAAAAATTAATCAAAATTTTAAAAATAAACAACAAATTCATAAATAATAGTTAGCATTGAAATGAAATGAATTTTATTGTTTTGCAAATTTCCAAAATTAGCATTGAATTAATTACAGCAATCGCTCCTATAGTTAAACACAAAATATATATTTGAATAATTAATAAAATAATATTGAATTAATAGGGACAGACATTTCAGTCTAGACATCAAATCCATCGTATTTTAAAATGACATTTAAGTTAAAGTTTGTTAATAAAATGATATTAAACTTCAATATTTTAAAATATCTCAAAGCAATTTATGAACCGATAAATGTTTAATTAGTAAATAATGTTTGACTGATTTTGTGTTTAACACAAAGTTATATCAGAAAAGACATAATATCTGATTATACATCTGTATATTTCCCACAAACAGACTGACCCGACATTGAACTCGTCAAACATGATATTCAATGCAATTTATATTATTTAATACAGTATTATAGCAAATAATATCTGTAATCAAAATCTGTTAGCGTTAGAAAATTTTGATATTAATTCAATTTATTTATTTTCTTTCTTCTAATCAATTGTTAGTATTAATTAAAACATATAAATAACTTGAATAATGTTATAATCAACAGATTAGCCAAAATTTAGTATAAAAGTCAAGAATATTCTGTAGACTTGTTGTGTGAATGTATTGAAAGCACTGCACAAATGGTCCCCAAAATGTGTTTCACGTGTTGTTTACAGTTTTTGTGATGCATTTCAGGACAAGTGATTGATTACATAAGCCTTCCCTGCGATTGCATTACATCCGTGTGTTTCGGTGGACAACAGTTGGACCAACTCTTCGTGACCACCGCTTTGTGGCCATTGGACGACAGCCGAAGAGCACAGCAGCCAAAAGCTGGTCATCTCTTTCGTGTGACATCCGATTCAAACACTTTCGGCGGATTTGAAGCCAGCGTGCAATTCAAACAGTGATTGCATTTCAAAGCATCACTTGTTTTGATATATCT